AAAGATGACCCAGACTCTCTTGATATTGTTAGCAAAACAACAATTCAAAAAAGAATAAATGAAATTGAACTCTCTCTTTTGAGAGAGACAGACGTTATTTGTTGCACTTGTTGTGGAGCATTAGACAGTCGATTAAGTGGTATATTAGAACATATCGATACTGTATTAATAGATGAAAGTACTCAAGCAGATGAGCCAGAATGTTTAATATGTCTAAATAATTCTGTAAAACAACTTTTCCTTGTTGGAGATCATTGTCAATTAGGACCAATTCTTAATTCACCAAGAGCAAAAAAGAATGGGCTTGGACTTCCTATGTTTTCAAGATTATTACAATTAGGACATGAACCATATAGACTTCAATTCCAATATCGTATGCATCCATGTTTATCAGAATTTAGTTCTCAAACATTTTATGATGGTGTATTACAAAATGGTGTTACAGCACTTGAAAGACAATTCCCTTCATTAAAATATTTCTGGTTTAAACAAAATAAACCTATGATGTTTATTGCTGCAAATGGAAAAGAGTCATATGGTTCGAATGGTACTTCTTACCTAAATGATGAAGAAGTTTTTCTTATAGAACAAATCATTATTAAAATGTTAGGAAATAAAGTTAGTCCATCTCAAATTGGTGTAATTACACCCTATATTGCTCAAAAACAAGCTATTATTTCAAGGCTGTCATTAAATAGAAGAATTTCTGAAGCACAATTAAATGATATTGAAATTGCATCTGTTGATTCTTTCCAAGGTAGAGAAAAAGATTTCATTATCTTTTCTACTGTACGTTCAAATGAAATATCAGACATTGGATTTCTTTCTATTCCTCAAAGATTAAATGTAAGTATTACTAGAGCAAAATATGGATTAGTGGTTGTAGGTAATCCAGAAACATTAATGCAAAATCCGTTGTGGTGTGCTTATCTTCAATTTTTTCAAAATAATAATGTTCTTGTACATGGTCAATTAGAAAACTTAAAAGAATATCCAATTAAACTTGAACCTAAAGAGGCACCAAAAGCTATTTACCAATTTACACCTAAAGTACAAGAATTTAGTGATATTGAGCCATTAAAAGATATTGCTATTCCATTTAGACAAACAAGACAACAACGCTCAACATTTAATCCTTTAGATGAATTTACTATTAGTGGTGGTAAAGAAGATAAGAGTGATGAGTTAGATGTTACGATTTCAGAAGATGAAAGTAATGAAAGTCAAAGCGAAGTGTCTGATTATGATGAAGATGATGGCTTTACAATTTAAATAAAAAAAGCTAAAGAAAGTGATAAATCGAATAGTTTTGTTATAGTTATTTTAAATTAAATTTTATTAAAATGGATATAATAAAATAAAAGGATGAAGTATATGAAGTAAATTAATGAAGAAGTGATGAACGAATATGATTTGTAAATTCATCAGCACCTTCGTCTTCCCAATTGTCTTGCCAATGAAGAGTAGAATCATCTACATCTTTTGTTTTAAAATCTAAATAAATGAGTATTGAAATAAATAAATAAATGAGTAAAGCAAACCATTAAAGTCTTCAAAGATATCATCTTCGTCAAGAAGTTCTAAGGTGTCGTTTGTAATAATTTGATTAGTTGAAGTTGACATAAAAAAATTGAATTAATGAATTTTGAGATGGTTCAAAAAACAGATAAACCTAACAATGTCTTCACTACAACTTCAAACACAGTTACAAAGTGTTCAAGACGTTAATAAATCAGTTCAATCACTAAAACAAAAATTAGCTGAATTTGAAAAAATTGATTATAACACTTTGTCTCCAGCTGATAAAATTAAATTAAATAACGCAATGGCATATTCATATGCAACACTTTATTTTTGTTTGTTTTCTTTGGTTTTATATATTTATATTTAGTACTTTGTTAATACTTCGTTTTGTAGCATATTGTAAATTAAAGGATGACCAAACCAATGTACGCAGTGCAGCAAAAGAATTAGAGAGAATTCGTACTGCTTTAACTAAAACAAAGAAGACTGAATAATGGTATGAATAACAAGAAGAAAATTAATAAAATTGATTGACAATAGAAAATGTTTTAGGGTTTTTATTATGTGACAAATTAAAAAATAAAACTAAAATTATATAAAATAGTTTATTTTATTATTTACTATATTAAGATAATCAATCATCAAGCAGTCGTTTTAAAGAACGTTTCTGATGAGTTAAGTCATTAAAGAAAGGAAAAAGATGAGAAACTAGTCGTGGGAATTTAAGATGAAGGAAATAGAGTTGTAATGAAGCATTTTTAATATCTTTAAATTTAGGTTCTATTAGAGTACGATATAAGACTCTCTTTTCTCTAATATTTAAATCTGTTTTATCAAAATCAAATGATGTGATTGCATCAATGTTATGAGGTATGTCAATAATGATAGGAGTTTCAAAAAGAAAGATTGAATTGATAATTCTTTTTTTCATAGACTCAATTTCTTCTTGATCCCCTAAAAGTAATAGTTCAGTGTAATTAAAGTCTTTAAACATCTCATGTATTTTAAGTGTATTTTGTTCTTCATTTTCTTCGAAGGTTTCAAAATAAGTGTCTAAAGTAGTAAAACAAACTGACTCTTTTAGATCAACATAATTAATAACTTCTTCATCTATACAATCAAACACCTGTTGTAATGGCATTGTGGCTTCTTTTAATTTTTTCGGAACAAACACTATTTTAATAAGATATTGTTTCATTTGTTCTTCATTAATCCAGTTTTTTAGTTCTTCATTAATCAATAATACAATTCGTTGTTCTTCATTACCTGTTTTCTTTCTTTGTTCAGTAGCAAATGGTATAACTTCATCAAATAGCCATAATAAAAAGCATTCTTCATTTATATAACCATCAGATGTATCTTTAAAATATACTTTGTCATTAAAAAGTAATGTCATTTGTTTTTTAACAATTTCTTTTACACAACATAAAGGACGAGCACCTTTTCCATCTCCATTGATACAAAGTATGACACTTGCTTTCATTTCTTTAATTTCTTCACTCTTTCTCATTCTTCCACTTCTTGTAGTCCATCCACTACTTTTTTTTAAATTAGGTGGTTCATAAACGTCACAGCAAATAATTAAAGATAAAGGAACACCTTCAATAACTTTTACTAATTCATTAACAAAATTATTAACTGTTGCAATAATATCATTTTTATGTTTTAATTTTTCTTTAATACTGTCATCTGGAGTGTCTTTAGTTACAATAACATTGTCACTTTTTTTTCTTATATCTTCTTCGTTTTGTTCTTTTATTTCTTTCTTTTGAAGACTTTTTCTTTCATTCTTTACTTTTTTAAGTTCAATCTCATTAATTTCTTTTTGTAATTCTTGATTAATTTCAATCAAATCTCCTGTATAATTACAACGATATGCTAAATTAAATTGCTCTTTAATAAGTCTACCATTTTTAATAAGAAATTGAAGATATTCCATAATATGAATTTTCTTAAGAAAAGAAAAGCTTTTATTATTAAGTTGATTGACACAAAGTTCTATTGTTTTATAAATTGGTTCATTCTCATCTCCATAATCTTTTGGTAAAACAAATACATCTATACCTGCTTTGTCTAATTGATGTTCTATATTTTTCATTAATTTAAATACAAAATGATTAATAATAATTAACGCTCTTCCATTGTAATTTAATTTTTTTTTCTTTTCATTGATTTGTGGAACTAATGATTCAATACACCACTTTTGTATATCAGTACATTTAATTGATAACATTAAATTAAATGAAAAAATACATTTCTTTTCCATTTCATTATAAGTACTTTTCTTTGCACATTCAGTTTTGTTAAGAACAATAAATGGATAAATAATATCTCCATCTGGACTTAGTCCTATGATTCCATTTGATAATCGGGATTCACGATCAATAAACACATCTCCTCCATCATACTTAGAATAACACTCAATTTGTTTACCTTCATATAATTGAAATCCAAATGTATCACAACAATATACAAATTCTTTACGTATTGGTTTAATTAAAACTTCAATTTGATTTTGAATCTCTTTAATATATTCATCACTTGACTGAACAAGAACACATTTTAATTTATGTAATTCTAACCCTATCCCAGAGAATACTTCATTAATTTGTGTTGGTTGTTTATTATGAACTTCACGACAATATGTAGTTAATGTATTTTCTGTTATTGCAATATTTCTTTCCAACATGTCTTGGATATGACGGTTAAATTTAATATGATTCTTTAAGAATTGCCTGTCAGGTATTTTTGTTCTGTCTTTACTCATTCAATTAACTATTTTTAGTTAGATTTTTTCTTTTACTTTTTTATTGGTAGTTATTAGTAATTTATTATTTTTAATTCTCTTTTTTCTTGTCTGATAATCCAAAAAAAAATCATTCAAATTAATGAAAATAATTTGAAAATTACCTTTTTAATGAATGTAATTTCTTTCTATTAAGACATAATATTTCTCATTTCATCGTCTATTTAAATATAATATTTTTTTTTATTGTTTTTGTTTTATTCAAATTATTGTGTATTACCAAAATTTATTGTTCGAGAATAACTCATTTGTCAATATTTTGTTTTTTATTTTATTAGACTCTTCTCTTTTTTCAATTATCTTTTTATGTAAGTATTAATGGAGTTTCCATTTAATTTTAATGGAAATAATACATAACAATATCCTTAAAAGTAGTAATATTCTCAGAATGTCTACATCCAATAATTAGATCATTTCAGTATTTTGATATTATTAATTCAAAACATAAGAAAAAAGATTATTAATATAAATATTCAATGTTATAAAAAATAAGAATAATTATAAATATTCTTTTTTTTATTGGTTATTTTGAAAAAACGATAAGAATTATTAAAAATTGGAATGAAGTGTTAAATAACATCAATAATTAAAATAAGTAAAATAAGTTGTTTATAATTTTTAGTGATAAGCAAACTAATACAATAATTATATTTATAAATTAATTAATAGCTTATAATAATTCATTATAATTTACATCTTCTAAAACATACTGACTTGGCTGTTCTTTGTTTAAACAATTATAGTATAATTCATTTAAAATTTCTATAACTTTATCATCTTTCATTTCAGTAGTTTGAAGTAAGTAATTGAAAGCATTTTCGTTTCCACATTTAGCAGCTTGAAATAATAAAAAGGTTCCTTCACTTGGACAAAAATCAATTGGTCCATCTATTAACTCTTTTCCAATTATTTGATCTACTAATGAACTTCTTTTCTTAATATCTTTTAAATAATGTAATTTCTTTTCTTTATGGAACAAAGTTAATGCAATTTTTTCTTTACAACAATTTAACTCACTTGCTCCATTCTGATAATATTTCAATGCAAGTTTTGGGTTTTGGATACCACCAGCTCCATACTCATATAATAGTCCAAGATACCAATATGGTTCTTTAATATTTAAACTTAATGCTTCTTCAAATACACTTCTTGCTTCTTCAAATTGATAATAATACAACAAACATTTCCCATATATAATAAAAGCTCTTGCATGTCCATTTATAGAAGCAAGTTTACTCCAGTACATTGCTTTATCAATATTTCTTTGGGTTCCATCTCCATAATAATAACAATTTGAACAGTTAAACTGTCCACTAACAATACCTTTTTTTGCACTTCTTTTAAACCACTTAAATGCTTTCTTTTTGTTACACTCAACCCCTTCTCCATCAAAATAACATCTTCCTAAATTACACATGGCTTTTCCATATCCTTCTTTAGCACTTTTATAGTACCATTTTACAGCTTCTTTCTTATTCACTTTAAAATTTTCTCCAAGATAATACCAACACCCAACATTAAACATAGCAATACTACTTCCGTTATTTGCAGCTTGTAATGTCCATTGGACATACAGTTCATTACTCATTTTAACTCCTGTTCCATATTTGTAACAACTAGCAAGAAGACACTCTGCCTCTGCATATCCTAGTTCAGCTGATTTTTTAAGATACTCTATAGCTTTGTAGTCATCTTTCTCAACTCCATCTCCATTAAAATAGCAGACTGATGCATTAAACATTCCCTCTTTACATCCCTTTTCTGAAGACCGAATAAAACATTGCAAAGCTTCAACACAATCTCTTATTTCATTTTCATGCTCATTTCCACTAAACAATATTACTCCTTTATTATTCTCTGCAATTCCACTTCCATGACTACTTGCAATGTCGAATAAGTGTAATGCCTTATTTATTTGTTTACTTGTTCCATATCCTAATGAATAAAATACACCACTGTTATTAATACCATAAACATCTCCACATATTGAGGCTTTATTAAATAATTCTAATGCCATTTTATTTGATTCTGAATCTTCTTGGATCATAAACAATAATAATCCTAATTGTACTTCTGATCCAGGGTATTGTTCGTTTACAAGTTGTCTTAATAACCTTTCACTTTTCAATAAGTTAGTTGGTTGGAGATATATTGACCGTTTGGCAAGTTCAAACATAGCATCTTTATTTCCATTTAGAGTTAAATATTCTAAATATTTATTTATTTGTTCATCATTTAATCTAATAGAATTATCCATTAAATCTAATAACAATTCTTCTGACTCATAATCATTTTCATATAAACACTCAATTAATAAGTCTATAGCTTCTTTGTACATATTTTCTTCAATATATATTTTACTTAACTCTTTTTTACACAAAAGATTTTTTCCTCCTTTTTTAAATGCTTCTAACGCCTCTTTTCTTCTTCCTGTCTTTTTCATTTCTTTTCCTTTAAAATACCAACTTTTCCCATCATTTCCATTATAATATGTATTTCTTACTGTAAATGATAATGTTGATTGGTTTAACTGAATATATTGAGTTCCTTCTAATATATAACCATGTTTCTCAATTTTAGGAATTGGACTAACCATCATTTCATTAGTTCCACTTCTTATTTTTTGTATTTTTTCAATTAACTCTTCACAACCCCATCTGTTTTTAGGATCTTGGCTCCAACACCCTTCAATAATTGAATAAATTCTACTGGAAATAACAGTAGTTTGTTTTGGTCTTTTTCCTTCCAGTATGAATTGTTTAATTTCATAACTTTTCATACCACTAAATAATTCTCTTTGTGAAATAACTTCATATAACATCATTCCAAATGAATATATATCACATTCAAATCCATACATTTCCATTTTCATTACTTCAGGAGCCATGTAGGATATAGTTCCAACACCACCAGTCATATGACTTTCATCTTTTAATGTAGAACTTCCAAAATCAGTTAACTTTGCATTAATATCAACAACTTTTTTTGTATTAAATAAAACAACATTTGCAGGTTTAATGTCACGATGAATAATATTGTTACGATGAAGGAATTGAATTCCTTTTAAAACATCAATCAAAACTTTCATTTTAATCTCATAATTCATTTCTTTCAAACATTTATCAAAACTACCACAAGGAGCAAGTTCCATGATAATATGAATTGTTGATGAATAATAAACCATTCCATAACACTGTATCAAAAAGGGATTTCTAAGTGATGTAATAATTTGTAATTCTTTTTCTATTAAGTCTAAAGATCCATTAATTCGTTTTATCGCACATTTCATTGAATTATAAACACCTTCAAAAACTATCCCAAAACTTCCACGTCCAAGTTCCTTTTTTGCGTCTAACCCCTGTATAAACTGTGGGTTTATCCATAATGAAGGTTCACTAGTAAATTTAAAATCATAAGATTTCCATTGGGTTAAATTCAAAAAAATAAAAACAGAACAATCTATATAACATGAACAGAAAGGTTTAACACAAATAGTTAATTCTTTAATTTCATTAGGTTGAAGTAACAATTTACGAGGATGAAACTCTATTGAATACATCTCATTTTGTATATCATTAACAGTAATAACTTGAGATGATTGAGTTTTATTGATGTATTTTGACACAATGATTGTTTCTTTCATTACTATAAGTTGCTTTTCATTTTTTATGACAACTGTTTTTTCATTATTGTTAAGTTCTTTTCCATCAATAATTATATAATCATCATTTTTTTCTTCAACTGAATCTTCCTCAAATTCATTAAAATCAAAATCTTGACTATTCATTCAACACTTTTTCTTTAAAATAATTTTTTTAAGTTTTGTTATTATTTATATAAAAATGTTTTTTAAAACTAAATAATTAATTAAAAAAGCAAAATAAATTATTAAGTAAAATTTTTTATTATCTCTGACAAAAATGTAATAAAATATTTATAGTCATAACAACGTAGTAAAAAAAATAAAACAGAAATAGATTTGTCTTTTATCGTTTAACAACAATTTATAAATTTAATTATCCGAGTAATATCATAGGATGTGTTTCATTTTCAGCACTAATATTACTATTTTCTTTTAACATAATACTTAAATGAATATTAATTCTAATTGAATATCTATAATAAAAAAACATTAGAAAAACCTTTATGATTTATTTTCATTAAACAATAGATCTTGATAAAATGAAAAACTAAAAAATTTTAATACATCACCATAGAATGGAAATTTTGAACGTCTTTGCTGGATATCCTATAATAACTCGAACCATTTTAATTATGATTATAAGCCTTTTTGTGTTAATGAAAGTTCGAATAATTCATATCTCACAACTATCATTTGACGTTGATGCAATTCTTTCTGGTGAAATTTGGAGATTAGTTACACCATTTCTAGTGTATTCTGATAGGTTTAGTATTTGGTTTATATTTGAGCTTTTGTTTATGTTTGTTATTCTTTTATTTTAACTATATTCTTTAAATACACTAACATAATAGCTCTCAGGCATTATCTCAAATTGAACAAACTTATAGAAGTTGGTTACATTGTTTATGGGTTATTTTTATAGGATGTTCGGGGATTTTAGTTTTGTCTTTTACATTTCATTTTATAGACTATGTCCCAGGACAACTCCCTTTATTATTCAATTCATTTTCTAACTTTATAATTTATCTCTGGTCAAAACAAAATAGAGAACAAAGAGTCGCAATGTTCTTCATATTTGTTATACCTCTTGTATATTTCCCATGGATTTCTCTATTTCTTCATGTCTCCTTTATAAGTGAAGCTATTAACGACATTTATGGCATTTTTATTGGTCATGTTGTTTACTGGTTAGAAACAGTATTCCCAATGTACTATAACTGGAAACCACTAGAATTACCAAAATTCTTGTATGACCTTTTCATTCATCCTATTCATCTAGAAGAAGAGCAAAACCCTAATATCGAACTCAATGAAGAAAATCAAATAGAAGGTCAACAACTCAATGAAAATGATGAGTAAGAAATTCCTTAAAACTGTCATACCAATTAAGCTCATGAACACTAAATAAATACAATATAAATGAAAATTAAGTCTATCATTTGATTGTAGTTGAAATAAAAAAAGAAGAA